AAGCATAGGATTAGTCAATGTTCTTTATGCCTGGACCAAAGGGTAAAGAATAGGTATGCTACTATTTGGCACAATATAATTTGAACTAATTCACTTTATTCATTCACTATAATTTCTTGACAAGGAGAAGGATGCTTTCTTATATACTGAATATCACATTAAAAACTTCATTATTTTATTTAGTTATTTAATAGTTATTAAAGTGCATATTTATTTCAATTGCTTATTAGTGACAGATAAGCAATTTGAATTCTATTGTTGCGATTAAAGTATTGCTTTTCTAAAATCTTAGTTCGTAGTTCTAATATTACTCCATGTGGGATCGATATCTAAAACTCCATTAGAGCTCTATATTACTTGAGCGATACGTATAGTTGCGTTGATAAGTGTGGCTTTACAATTATTGAATATTTTATACATTCATCTTTATTGAATCTATAACTGTTATTAAGTTTTGGTACAGTTGCTGAGGAATTAAATCTTTTAACAACAGTATTAATTACTTATATTTTTAAGCATATATAAAGTCGATGTCAATAAGCACGATATCTTACCATTGTAAGAAAACCGACTAAAGGCTTCGACCTATCTATTGGTAGCTTCAATTTGAGGAAAGAATCTAGTTCCTCACTAGCATAAATGGTCTCACAGATCCCTCCGAGACCCCCAACAAGAATCAAGGATTGTCAATACAATAATCTTATTGCCATCTCACAGACTCTTCTCATCGAGGTATTAGCTACCTATCGATTACAGTGATTCAGAAGTGTTGCTTGTACTGATATCTCTTTTTTGTATACTTTTAAATATACCATATTTACATGAATTCAAATAAATAATTTGTTTTTTCCACCAATAAGAGGCCTATGAATTCTTCCCTTTCATAATTGATCACAAGAAATTTTCTCTATTTTTTTATTGGAAGTGTTTAAATATTTTGAGCATTTATAAAAGGAAATTAACACAGAAAACGCTCAAAATTATCATGTTTACACGTTTAATACCTAAAACTTATTATTTACTTTCATGTACGATTTTTTAAGTAATAGTAAAATACCACATTATTTATCCTTGTCATTTAACTTTCCATCAATGCACTCTGCCTAATCTTGTAGTGACTTTCTTGAGTCTTTCTAGTCATAAGTGTTGTCAAACTCCATGCATAATTTGGGTTGTTAATGATCTGATTTTGAGCCGAGCTGGGGTCGACATAAAATCAATTTGAAGGGATTGAGTGTAGCTTAAAGCCAACCCATGCCTCGTTATTTGAATCCATTTCAGCTTAAAATCGACTCGATCTGACTCTAAATCATAACTAGTTTGTTGAAATTGAGTTATTTGGTTTTGTTCCAGCTCAAAATTGGCTCAAATTTGTTTTCATTCATTTCTCTTTTTTTTTAAAAGGAGTCGTGAGTTTGTCCATCGTTGTATAATTCTCTTTTCTAGATAAGCCTATCTTCCAGATCATATGAATGACCAGAAGAAGAGTGAAATTTAAAAAGTAGGACATACGATAAAGGAAGACAAACAGAGACAAAGAGCGTGGAGAACTTCCGCGCATCGAACATCGCTACGATAGTTCAAGCATATACACCTGAACAATATCAAACTGAAATAGCTTGTGTCATATATGCAAAAAAAATCACTACAAAAGCAACCCACAACCAGAATTCAGGTGTGTTTTCTTGTGTTAGAGTCTAGAGTTCTCTGAATGGGAAGTATCTCACTTGGTTAATTACATCTTAGGGGTTATCAAATATAATGTTGGGCAAGTCCTGAATCATTACAGTGGACACTCTACACTTGTGACATCAAAAAATGATGGCAAAAACTAGATTATTGGGGAACAAGAAAGAGAGAATGTTACTCTATTGGGAGGCAAAGAGCGGTGGTCCTCGGGCTCAGCGACTCCTACCATTCCAGATAAGTTTGATTACAAGTGAGGAGGAAGGGAAGCAAGCTCCCTACTTGAGGGGGGAGAGAGAGAGAGCCTAACGACCTCTTTTACATGTTAACGGGTTCTCTATTTATAGAGAAATAATGACGGGGCGATGAGATTACATTTATGCCCTTATTTAAAGGGAAGCAGTGAGGGGTGTTTTGGTCATTTTTTTGTCTGAATCAGTCCTTCTGGAGCTTCCCACAATTGAACTTGTCTGGATCTAAGGTCGACCGAAATGGTCGATCATTAGGGGTTGCCCGACTGCCTTCCTTCACTGTGACCGACCCATGGCGGTCGGGTGGCTGGGTGTAAGTGGCCAGGCGATTGGTGGTGGTCGACCCAAGTGACCGGCCGATAGCTTGCATGTGGCCAACCCATGTTGGTCGGTCAGTTGGCAGTGGTTGGCCCATGTGGTCGGCTGGCTGGAGGATAGTAGGCGACCCAATAGTTGCATGTCTGCTAGTTTGTCTTCGAAGGCAGATCCTCTTGCTCGGCGAGGCTTTTTTTAGGTTATACAATATATATATACACAATTATTTTTGAAAAATGTTTGTTTAATCTTTTTTTGTGAATCCATACAATCTGAGAGAGACTTTATGAGGTGAGTGAAGGGTTGGAAAATGGGTCGAGGATTTCTGATTGTGAATGTTATCTTCTTATGGATCCTCTTTCTTTTCACCATCCCCTCTTTTATATAAACTCTGTGATCTTCTCCTTGTAGGGCTAGAAAAAAAACAATAGAAAAAATAAGAACGATGTACAATCTATTTGTAGCCATTCTTTAGGTTTCAATAACATAAATATAAACGGACGGTTAATACTGTTGGAAGTCACAAACCGTTTCTTCCTCCTGACAGCCACAATCACTGCCGTCCAATAACAACAAAGAGGTCCTCACCTGGGAAAAAATTTGCGTACGTCAAGGGGTACGCAGAGATGCATACATAATAGGGTACACGGGCGTTATATGGGGGTTACATGGGGTTTACAAGCGTGTTATAACTTCCTTGTAACTTTCGTGTAACTCAGCTGTAACTCGCGCTTTTATTTTATCCATTGAGATTACAAGATTACAGCGGGGTTTTTATACGGGAGTTACACGGGAGGTACAACGGATTATAACCCACTTGTAATCCCGTATAAATCCCATGTACCCTATTATATTCTGCGTACCCCTTGAAGTGCCCAAATTTTTTAACTCTCCTGGCTGAAATATCCACAATCCCCCTTTATTCTCGGCAAAAAAGTTGGTGGAAGCGAAGGTCGGGGAATCGAAGAGGCCCATATTTTCTCGAATCGTCGGTGGAAGAAGAAGAAATCAAAGCTCTTGTTCACCGAATCTGATCTCGTATTCTGCTCGGTACCTTCTGGCTTTCTCTCTACACTAATCTGTTGGGCTAGGGTTAGGGTTAGGGTTAGGGTTCCGGTGAAATGTCAGAAAGAAAACGGCTGACGGGGAAGCTGAAGTGGTTAAACAGGCAAAAGGGTTATGGTTTCGTAACCTCTGACATAGATGGAGAGGTCTTCTTCGTGCACAAGAGCTCTCTCCACTCCGAAGGGTTTCGGATGCTTTCCAGTGGCGATTCTTTAGAGTTCTCTGTCGAGAAAGGGGAGGACGGACGGACGAAGGCTGTTGACGTCACTTTCCCGGAAAAAGCAGAGATTTCTGTGACGACTAGTAATGGGGAATTGGGCTTCTCAGCCTGGAAAGGTAAAGGGCCTGGAGGGGTTGCGAGAGGTGGAGGAGGGGTTTTGGGAAAAAGCAGGTGGGGTGGTGGTGGTGGTGCTACGTGCTATAATTGCGGGGAAGCTGGACACTTCGCGAGGGAATGCCTTCAAAGTTCTCGAGGAGGAGAGGGAGGAAGAGAAGGAGAAAGAGGTCCCCCGTGCTATGACTGTGGGAAATCAGGCCATCTAGCTAGAGATTGCATCCAAGGTAATCGCTCCACTAACCGTAGATTTGGGGTTTCGTGTTATAATTGTGGAAAAAATGGGCATTTGGCGAGGGATTGTAACCAGGAAGGAGGAAGCTCTGCAAAAGTTAGTATCGGCGGCTACTCTGGCGGTGAAAGGGGATGTTATAACTGTGGAGAGCGTGGGCATCTTGCGAGAGATTGTCCTAACAATGACGATAAGTAACTTATGCCCAATTTTTTTTTGTTCTTATCTCTCCACCTCTCCTAAATTTTTCTTTTTTTAAAATGGTTTGATCTTTTTCTTCTAACTTGTTTCAGTATTCGTGTATTGTCATACATAATTTCTATGTTGATAACCGGGACCTGTGGAATTATTAAAGATATGGGCTCTATAGCTTGGTTCCTGTAAATATATTTCATCGCCTTTTGATAATTTGATGATGAGTTGATGCAAACTTTTGTTCAATGTGGTGGAATATCATTTTTAGGGGCTGTCTGGCAGCAAACATGATTTCATGATTTAACTTGAATAGGTAGGATTTAGTAAATCCTGTAAATCAGGATTTATCAAATCTGTCAAATTGTTGGGTTTAGTAAATCTGGATTTACGGGCGAAACCAGAAGAAATTCTGATTTAACGGTCTCAGGATTTAACACGAGGTGCATTTTACTATTTGACTGGATTTACACTAAATTCATAAATCCTTTGTAAATCCTATTAGAAAAGGTGCTATCCAACAGCTCCTTAGCTTGTTTAAGGATTGGTCAGAGTTGGCTCTAAAAATTTTTTCGAAGAATATTCGGATTAAATTTTTTATGAGAGTGGGCCTTTAGGCCGTTAGATTTGCTTTGAAATAATTTTAATATAAGGTTTGATTCGTTTTTTCTATATTGCACTTATTTCAATGCAAATTGAATAACTTGAAGTCTCATTTTGACTTTTTTTTTCATTTTATCCTGAGATCCTCCAGCTTTATGATGTGAGCATACGTTTGATTCCTATCTTACTGATCTTGGAAGTAGTTACAGTTTGTGATCTTTGATTGCATTTGTCCTATAATGCAAATATTGGCCTGTTACTTGTTCGGTTATATGAAGAATTTTTTTGTGGTTTTAAATCTCAGATATTTATGTTGCATTTATCAGCTTTTTAAGATAGGGAATACATCATTGTAATATTTGTTTTACATTACTTTGTTGGAAGTAGGGGTTGAACCAGTCTTATTTTTTTAGAGTGCAAAAAATTATGAAATATTTAAAATTTTTAAAAGTATTAGGTATATCGAGAGAGGGCAAAATTACTAAATTACCTAAACTATATAAGAAAAAAGTATTAAATTTTACTGCTTGGATAAAGAAATCTCAAATTTCAGGGTTGCCCGCAGTGAACATAATCTGGTTCTGCTTCTAGGAAAGGCTATCTATCCCTTCTATGTTGAAATATGTCTTTCTATTAATTTTGATTTAAATGAAAATTTGAATGCAAACTATTGTAGATGATATGGTTTTGATATATGAATTTCTTACTGAGTATCTTATATTTAGAAGTGAGTTTTGTATTTATTGTGAGGGAAGGAGCTTGTGGTCTAGGATTACTTATGGCTTCTTTCGTATATAGAAGTTTAACCGTTATGTTTATGGTTTGAATAATTGCAATATGTGATATGAAAGATTTGGGTGGCATAAAAGTTTAAAGTAAATTTAGTTGCTAGATATGTAAATACATAGGAATTGATTGGTACCTATGTAAATGTCCCTATTTGGAATTTAAAGCCTTTTTCACCACACTTAAGGTAGCCACATTGTTGTGAAATTTGATTTTTTCTCTCTTACTTGAAATAAGATGTTGGTAGTCTCCATTTAGCTTTGTGTAGTTAACGCGACTTGGTGTTTATATGATTTTCTTTCTGGTCTCATTATTGAATGCAAGGTTGACGAACATGGTTGTGAATGCCATTGTGTGAAGAATCTTATGTAACTTTGGTTGCACATTGCAAATCAACTTCTATGGTAACATTGACATGGTGGTTGGAAACTAGAGAAGGGCCCCAAAAGATATCGAATATTATGAAGAAGGGGGCATGATTATGTGCTATGATTGAGAGATTAGGATTGTGAATTTCATAAAAACTTTATCATCATAGTATGCAATTCATCAATTGGGCTAACTATATTTAATTTTGATTCATGCATTCATTTGTATAGAGCTTATTTTCATTGCATTTTTTTGCTCGGAATATGAGATTTCATAATTTCCATCTTCAATTAAATGCTTATTTTTTAGGGAAATTTACATACCATACAAATTTTATTTATTTATATATGCAACAATAACAACAACAACATGCCTTTATCCCACTAACTGATGTCGGATGCTTGAATCCTTTTTCTTCATTATGCCATGTATGCACCAAAATTGTCTACACGAATCTCAAAGCGATCTTATGGCCAGGGATGATGGTCGGATAATCAAAACATCGGACTAAAGGAACACGGTCTGAGCCGACCATTCGACGTTGATCCACTCGGTCAAAGTCAATCAACACACGGTGTTGGTGGATGTTGTCGTTGGCAAGCCACTCTCATGGTCCTAGGAGCGTCCGGTCGTAACTGGACGACCAATCGACTTTGCTTCAGTAGGAACGACCTTCATTCGATCGGTCACTTCGGTCAACTAAACTCAAGCACTTCAATTAACTGATAACATTTATATTCAAATTCAAATTGTAATACAAATCCAAAATTAAATCATGCAAATCTTGTATTAAATTAGCGCATTAACTGTATTAAGGGCGGTTTCCATAATCACTCACTCCTTTTGGTAGTTAAGAGCAATTTTCATAATCGCTACCTTACTTCTGTAGTTGTACGAAAAAGCTTGCTATAAATAGGAGGCCCAACGATGAATAAAGAGATTTTTTCCCCTCACTCTTCTCTTCAGAGAATTTTTTGTCGGTCTTTCTCTCTGTCTCTCTCCCCTGCTCTCCTTCTTTGGCTCCAACTCTCGATGAGTGTTTTTTCCAAAGGATAATTTGGGATTCAACATGTCCAATCGAGTGACATATTTTTGCTTCATTCCAATAAATCAAGATCACTTTTTATGCAATATGCCCAAGTCTTTTTATGTTATCATCTCTATCTTTCTTAACATAAGTCGAATCTAAAACATCTACTCTTAAACATCTACTCTTCTAACACTCTTCTAACTAGATCATCAGATGGTCTACGTTTAATGTGACCAAACTATCTAAAGACCAAACTGGTTAAGAAATGAAAATCAAAGGAGATTATCGCAAAAAAGTGAGAAAATTTTACGTTTGTATGGCCAACCACCGGGTGCCGCATCTCCATACACGCCGGTGTCGGGCGATATGGCGCTCGGCGGTTGGCTATCAAGACGTGCGGACGTCTGAACATAATATTTTTTCCAAAAAAGCAGGGCTCTGGTATGATGGTGTGCTCACAAACAACTTTGAATTTTACAGGTTATATGCTACTGTTGTATTTGATTCCATTAGGAGTAATTGTTGAGAACATTGTATGGCGTAATTGAACTACGATATCTTTTGTCGTAACTTATTTATTCAATGTTTTTCAGGGGTGGTTTTTTTTTTTTTTTTTTTATGATTCATATTATGCACAATCAATGGTGGAATTAGAAAAGGGTTGTAGCCGATTTCTATCCCTAGATTAAAGAGAATTTTTCATGTTTATAAATAGGGACATTTACATGCACACCACACAATTGTTTTGTATTTACATATCTAACACCTAAAGTTTCATATTTACACTCACAACACCTTTGTGTCATAAACCTATGCATGAAGGGGTATATTTTACTTCGAAAAAGGATTGTTATAATGATATTTTTAATGTGATGTTAAGGATTGGGTGGCATGCATGTAAATATGAATGCTTAGGTGTTAGAAATGTAAATGCATGCGAATTGTGTGGTCTGCATGTAAATGCCCCTTATGAATATTATGAAGTCTTAGCTTTAAATTAATCTGGTACGATGCAGATTTCCTAAAGTTTTTTGGCCTCTTAAATGAGGTAAATTTTCTCACATCTTCTCTCTTGAGATTCTAGTTCCATCATTGTAGCAGTAGTATTTGTACAAATTATGAATTCTTATTGGCCCACTGCTGGTTTAACTGTCTCTAGTTATGTTTAGTCTGGCATTACTTATACCATATCTAAGGAAGATTTACATGCATACCACTTAATATTTTTATTTGTGCATTTACATATCTAACACCAAAACTTAAATTTTTATGTATGTCACCTTATTTATGCATGAAAATGTATATTTAAATTTTTTAGAAGTTAAAATTGTGATGTTTTTTTTTTAATGTGATATGAAAGATTTGAGCGGTGTAAATGTAAATTTGAAGTTTAGGTATTAGATATGCAAATACATAAGGATTAGGTTAAACATGTTATTGTCCAGCTGGAGAATTTGTTGAACTGCTTGGCAGGAGATTGGTCAAACTGCATAACTAACCATCTTTCATGTTTAACCACATGGTGAGATATGACAATATTGTACGACCTGACTTGAAGCTGTCGGATATGACATAAAGCTATAATATATGACATAAAACATGATATAAATATGTTGTAAATGATATAAAGCTGTTGGATAAGACTTAACACTATGTACATTTATATAATTTTTTATCCGATGAAAAAAAGACGCCCTAGGACTAATAAGTACCCTAGGACTAATAAGTAAAAGTTTAATGTAAATAAGAAAACGAAGAGAGAAGACAAGGCTCTCTGTTCTCGTGGGTTGATCCTCCACTATATTTCTCTCTATATTTTTGACTTGTTATGACCCGAGCCTGATGAGTAACCACATCCTTCGTAGCAGCTAACCAACGTCGCCCAGTGGCTTCTATAGTTGACAAATACCGTCGACCACCACTAGTCATGATCACCTATTTATCGTCAATCACCGATTTTCGGTACTCACTACTTGCAACGTTGTAGTCAAATTATAAATAATTTTTTCCAAGTCATAAACCTATGCATGAAGGGGTATATTTTACTTTGAAAAAGGATTGTTATAATGATATTTTTGATGTGATGTTAAGGATTGGGTGGTATGCATGTAAATATGAATGCTTAGGTGTTAGAAATGTAAATGCATGCGAATTGTGTGGTCTGCATGTAAATGCCCCTTATGAATATTATGAAGTCTTAGCTTTAAATTAATCTGGTACGATGCAGATTTCCTAAAGTTTTTTGGCCTCTTAAATGAGGTAAATTTTCTCACATCTTCTCTCTTGAGATTCTAGTTCCATCATTGTAGCAGTAGTATTTGTACAAATTATGAATTCTTATTCGCCCACTGCTGGTTTAACTGTCTCAAGTTATGTTTGAGTCTGGCATCTACTTATACCATATCTAAGGAAGATTTACATACATACCACTTAATATTTTTATTTGTGCATTTACATATCTAACACCAAAAACTTAAATTTTTATGTGTATGTCACCTTATTTATGCATGAAAATGTATATTTAATTTTTTTAGAAGTTAAAATTGTGATGTTTTTTTTTAATGTGTTGTGAAAGATTTGAGCGGTGTAAATGTAAAACTGAAGTTTAGGTATTAGATATGTAAATACATAAGGAGTAGGCTGTATGCATGTTAATGTCCAGCAGGAGAATTTGTTGAACTGCTTGGCAGGAGAATTTGTTGAACTGCCTAACTAACGATCTTTCATGTTCAACCACATGGTGAAAAATGACAATGTTGTACAACATGACTTGAAGTTGTAGGATATGACATAAAACATGATATAATTATGTTGTAAATGATATAAAGCTGTTGGATACTACTTAACACCATTTACATTTATATAATTTTTTATCCCATGAAAAAAAGATGCCCTAGGACTAATAAGTAAAAGTTTAATGTAAATAAGAAAAGGAAGAGAGAAGACAAGGCTCTCTGTTCCCGTGGGTTGATCCTCCGCTATGTTTCTCTTGATATTTTTGGCTTGTTATGACCCGAGCCTCATGAGTAACCACATCCCTCGTAGCAGCTAACCAACGTTATGACCCGAGCCTGATGAGTAACCACATCCTTCGTAGCAGCTAACCAACGTCGCCCAGTGGCTTCTATAGTTGACAAATACCGTCGACCACCACTAGTCATGATCACCTATTTATCGTCAATCACCGATTTTCGGTACTCACTACTTGCAACGTTGTAGTCAAATTATAAATAATTTTTTCCAACACTTGGTATATTAAAAGATAAATGTAGTTTTTAGTACAAGATTGCAATTGGTTCTCTATTTTAAGTGAATAATATACCCATATACTTACAAATATGTAACGAATTACGTCCCCATAATTTCTTTTCTTGTCAAACTTATTCTCAGAAAAATTTTTATGACTTTTTTCTGCGAGAAACTATTCCGTTTGAATATCCTAAATTAGGATGATCAATCATCAATGATCACGTTATACAAATCTAGTCAGCCGTAATAGCTGGTAGTTTACTGTGCGGGCATCCCCATAAAATATTTTTTCTTCCCGTGCATATTTATATTTATATATCGCCAAATTCTTTAACTAAAAATCCAAAGTCTTCTTCTTGGAAACTCGCTGCCACCCCCATCGGATCTATTCCTCCCCTAAGGCCGCACGACACACGAAGCTATTCCAATGGTTCGTATGCACTCCACACAGCAAACAGCTAAAACTCCACGTGTCTTCTTGTCACTGCTTCGCTCCATTGATAAACAAATAAAACACCACCAAGCAGAATCGGCATACAATCCGCCACAGAAATACCCTGCTACTGCTACCCCACATGTCCTCACATGGTATAGCTCGCAGTACTCCACCTCCTCTACCTCTTCTACCTCTTCTATCCCCACCTCCTCCTCTCCCCTAACCAGTGAATCAATGTCACCGACAGCCTCTTCCCTCCTCTCCTCTCTCCTCCTTCTCACTTCCCTCTTCTACCTCGCCGGCAATGCTAATGCCCAGGTGAGCTCCGGCAGCCTCCATCTCATCGCCGACGCCATCGACTGGCCCGTCTCCCC